GTATCCCCCCTCCACTGTGAGGCAATATCATCAATTAAGTTAAAAATATGTACCCAATATCAAAATCAGGCATTGATTAAAATATAATATTAAACGATTTACTCAACACATCAGGGCCATTTGGAGATATATGTAGATAGCTTTCATTTCTATTCAATTAGTCATTATTTATTTACTAAGTTTACCTGCTATATTTCAGGCACTGACAGCATAAAGATGAAGACAAACCAATCCCTGCCCTTAGAAGATGCAGAAAGTCCTAACCAAAATCAGAGCCCAACGTATGCAGACCAGGGGTGGAAAGGGGGGTGGGGTGGGATGAATTTGGAGACTGGGATTGACATATATACACCACTATGTATAAAATAGATAACTAATGAGAATCTGCTGTATAGCACAGGGAACTCTACTCAATGCTCTGTGGTGACCTAAATGGGAAGGAAATCCAAAAAAGGGGATATATGTATTCATAAAGCTGATTCACTTCACTGTACAGCAGAAACTAACACAACACTGTAAAGCAACTACACTCCAATTAAAAAAATTTTTTTAATATGTAATAAAATCAGAGCCCAAAATATAGGTAATCCGTAATTAAGAGAGAAGTAAACTTTTATCTCACTGCTGTACGGATAATGATTATCACTAATAATGATAAGCACTAATATTTATTAAGCTCTTGCTATATGCCAGACACTGTTCTAAGAGCTCTTCAAAGATGCTCTCACTTAATCTTCACAACAGATCTATGCTAAAACCCTACTAGCACCCCCATTTTACAGTTGAGAGGCTATGCAAATTGCCTACATGGAACCCAGCTGAGGTTTGAACTCAGGAAGTTGACTCTAGAGCCCATCCTCTCAATGATAAATTGATGCAGCATTGGGCCCACTGTTGCACCACCTAGATTTGATTTTCTCGGTGTATATTCTGCCTTTGTACACTTTAGTAATGAACCTAATTTTGAAATGGCTATTCCACAAGATCCACCCAGTTTCATACTTTGTATCTTCAATTTTATTAAGCCCCAAATTAAACCTAAGTTATCTGTTGGTATAAACTAGGTACCCTGGTAGTAAGTATCAGAATGTTGTGTCTTTCCAAAGTTTTCATGAAGCAAACATAAAACACCAGGTGATTAATGGAAAGACTACACACAACCTGACCAACCTATATTTAACTGAGCCATCATGCTTACCCGGGGCCACTGAGGGGACTGCATCTCTGGCAAAACCTGAACAGACTTAAGGTTCCCACTTTCAAGTACCAAAATGATGCAACACTTTCTTTTAGAATCCAGGTCAGAGCATTCTTTTGAACTTTTCTAAATTCCTATGAAACTCAGTAATTCCGCTGATGCTTCCCCGCCAGCCCCCGCTTCTAATAACCTCTTGCTTCTCAAAGGACAGACGACATAGGAGGAAAAGAGGAGAAACATATATACATGATTGACTGTGCAAAGAAAGTTACTAACATGCCGACCTGGGCAATTCAGAAAGAAAGGGAAATAGAAAGTGGTCAATCTCTGGGCTGGGCAGTGCATTTTATTTTATAAATAGCATTTTATAAAAATATCTTATAACTTGGAAAGCGTGCCCCTAAGGTAGAAATGAGTCTATTTATTTTTCCAGGCTCCCCAAAGCACAGTCTACGATAACTGGGTCAAGATTTAGTCATACAACATGCACCACTGTGATGAATATTTGCTTCGCACACAGTGAATAAGCAAGTATGTACACTTTGTATATATGTAAAATGGTGCTGCATACTAGTATCTTACAAAATACTTGCACTTATTTCTTTTCTTTCAACAATTAGTATTTTGTGTTTATTTTACATATATATATATATATATATAAAAACTCATATATACTATATAAAACATATATAATAATGACTTCACCTTTGGAAGTGTTTAATTTAAATTGACTGTGGGACTTCCCTGGCAGTCCAGTGGTTAAGACTCCGCACTCCCAATGGAGGGGGCATGGGTTTGATCCCTGATCGGGGAACTAAGATCCCACGTGCCACATGGTGTGCCAAAAAAAAAAAAAAATTGACTGTGATCATTGTGAACACTAACAGTATGTTTCACTGGAAAGATGAACTCAAAAAAAATACCAATGCTGAATAATCAATTATTTTATTTTACTCGCTAATTTATGTGATCTGTGTGATCATGAAGTAAAGAGGTGTCTTTTCAGTTGGAGTTCACAACTGGCTCTAAGGAAATTCCAAAAGAATTCCCCAATATTGTTAATATTCTGAGGCATTGCATTAAGCTGAAATAAAGATCCCGAAGTGATGATTTTGAAGGGATGGCTTCTAGCATTTGTAAAAAACTCAATCTCACAGCTTCAGAGAGTTGGGTCACAGCTAATACACTTTTTCAAGCACATCTGATTCAAAATGTCTATCCTTAGCTAGCCATTACGGGCCATCACCATACTGCCATCCTTACTCTAAAACTCAAGGTCTTCAAAAGCGACTTTAAGAATGAAAAATGAATGTATCCTCTCAACATGTCAGAAAACTCTAATCCAGTTCACATCACATGCCAAGCCCTGTAATGGGTTCTGTAGAGAAACCCCAGCAGCAAGTAACACCAGGACACCGAGCAAATGAGTGGTGAGCTGAGGGGACCCTGGAAAGGCCCCCTGGAGAGAGTGGCAGTGGACCAAGCCAGTGTACAGGTACAGTTTAAACTTGGTGCTCTTGGGACTTCCCTGGTGGTCCAGTGGTTAAGAATCTGCCTTCCAATGCAGGGAACGCGGGTTCGATCCCTAGTCTGGGAACTAAGATCCCACATGCCGTGGGGCAACTAAGCCCGCACGCCCTGAAGCCCTCACACCACAACTAGAGAGAAGCCTGCGCACCACAACAAAAGGTCCCGCATGCTGCAACTAAGACCTGATGCAGCCAAATAAATAAATAAATAAAATAAAAAATAAACTTGGTGCTCACCACCAGCCCTTTTTGACACCAGCACTCAGTAAGTGAAGGCGCCAGGGATAGAAATACCCTAAACACTCAGCAGCGAGGGAATCATTAAATAAATCATGGAGCTTGAAGAGGGTGGAACAGCATGCTTAATACTTAAATTCAGCCTGAGGTAGAAAAATGCTATATCCTGATATGAACTGATTTGCAAAATATATACTGTGGTGGAAAAAGCAAAGCATTTATAAAATATGTAATGTGTCAATTTTTTTCTTGTTTTAATTTTTACTGTGGAAATTTTTAAACATACAATATGAGAGAGAACAGAATAATAAACCCTTATGTACCCACCTTTAACAAGGATCAGCTTATGAGCAAAATCCCATATACAATATTATAGTATAATATATTATACTATAATATTTTAGTATGTATCTCTAAATGGTAAGGACTCTTTAAAAATATCATTATAAAATTTGGGTAAATTTTAATATTTATTATAAATGTGGGTACATGCCTAAAATGGTTTCTGAAAAAAAAAAAAACTAAAAAAAAAGTAGTGGTTGTCACTGGAAAAAAGGGGGCCAGAGTGAGGAACCGAGGAGACTTTACTGTTACTTAATACCTTTCAGTAAAATTTAAAATATAGCTACAAAAGGGAGCACAGGGCCTGGAAGAGCAGCAGAAAGGCTGCCACGACGTGGGGAAGACAGTGTGGCCTCAGTGGAGGGCGCTGAACACAAGAGGTTGAGTTTGAATGTGAGACACTCAAGGAGCCATTTATATAGATTCAAACACTAGCAGGTGACAGTGTCCATCGGCTACAGGATATGAAGTCTCTAAATGTGAAAAGTAATAGAGAGTTGTGAACTCAGTGACATTACTATACATAATTACAATTCCAATAATGTGCAGATCCAGGCATTTCTGAGATGAAATGGGCTCATCTCAACCTCCCTACTGCCATATCCAGCTACAGGAGGCTGATGAAATCTATCATTTAAAGCACTCTGGTTTTAAAGGGCACTTCAAAACCACTTTTTTTTTGTTTTTTTAAACAAGTTAATGTCTTACTTTCTCCTCTTTTCCCATCTGTAGTCCTTGTAATTTCTCTGCCTTATAGGTGGGGAAAATGTCAGTTCCTTCCCTGGTGGTTCTATCTGTTACATCTGTATCACATTAACAGAGCCCTGGGATCCACCAGAGGCAGGGTTAGGTTAAAGAAATAAGCCTTTGTGAACGCTTGTTTACAGTGAATTCAGACACAATACAGTTCTCCAGTCTTTTAACCTCATGATCAGTAAAATAGGGGCTATGAGAAGATAAGATTCAAAGTAGCTGATTTTTAGGACCCTGTTCATTTCTGTGACAATTTTCACTCCTCTGAAAAATCCAAAGATGTTACAAAATATAGACAAAAGTTAGGAAAGACTGGTCTCAACTAGACTAGTTAAAATCCAAAACTTCTAAATATATGTTAAAAGAAACACTACTTTCTCACTTTCAAATATCACTTGAACAAGGCTAATAAAATGTTCCCCAGTAAAGGTCAAAAAGGAAATGTCTTTAATGAATAGACTTTCAACTTTTTAAACCTTAAACTTTTCATCAGCTTGAGCATAAATAAAGTTTTTCCAGAGAATTTTAAAATACTTGGTTCTCTTTTTCAGGTTATATCTTGCCCCCGGCAAGTGTCTCCCTTTTATTATTTTCCTTAACAAAACCCAGCATTTCTACATAGTATATAGAAATAGTTCACCTAACCACTGGCAGTATAGTTGCTAAATAGGTGATGTTTTACTGTACTTAACACCGGGGAGCTATTTCTTTTACAAAAATGCTTCCCGGGACAAACAACTTACGTATGAATCAAAATGAAACCGCTGAGGAATCTAATGATATTTTCACACAAATTGCCCAATTTTACCCCAAGAGGCTCATGTTCTTCTCTACCTGCAGATGAAAATTTGGGGGAGGGGGTCAGTGTAGAGATTAATTCCATCAATAAGGGAAAACACCAAAAGAAAGTGGCCACCGTAGGCTACACCTTTCCCAGGTACCTGTCTCATCTGCGGAGCTGGGGGAGGCACTGTCTTGGGACAGGGTCGTCCAGCTGGACTCCTCGTCGCTCGGTGCCAGGTTCTGGATCCGGTGGAGTGCACAGTCAGTTTTGGCCCCCGTTTTAGGGTGATCCTTCTTGGTCTCCGGGCTGGATGATACGGTGGCTATCTGGCCATCTTCAGGGCTGAACTGGGGTCTGTTTGGTTTCTGCAGCAGTAAGTCGCCATTCCCAGCGACGGTGGAGGCCTGGCTCTGGCTTGGCTGGGCCTTCTCTTCCACAGCCCCATGCTGGTTTCCCAAATTCTGCTCGAGTTCTCTGGTTGAGGTTTCCAGGTCTGCATAGTAATTCAGGAAGCTCTTGGTTCTTCGGGGCTGGGAGGGTAAAATCTCGCAGCCCGAGGAATCCCGTGGGTGGGGCTCTTTACCCTCTAACTTCTCAGAAGTTATGTTGATGACTGCAGTGGGGCTGACGTTTCTGTTGGGGTCCTGCTGCCCTTGTTCCGCAGCCTTCCGGAGCTGGTTCTCTCCATTTTTCACCAGCTTGATGTTGGCAGAGCCATTTCCCAGGAGGGGCTGTGCGGCCGGATCCGAGAGGCCCATCGCCGCCTGGATGTTAGTTAGTGCATATTTTTTCCTGCATTTGGGGGGTGTGCTGTTCTTGGTTTCTGTGTGTTTGATTTCAGCGTTCAACAATTCATTGTGGGAGGAACGGAGATTAAGGGTGTTTGGTGGTGTGGCTGGGCTATTCCGATTCGTGACGTCTGTCGTTCCGCTGCTGGCCATAAACACTGCCAAAGTGTCTACACCTGAGTCAGCTGGAAAAAAAAAAAGAAAACTGGTCATTAGACGCCTGGCATGATTAAACTACTTAGCATAGAGAGTGAGCAAACATTTCTATACAGAAAACTGAAAGAACCAATGCTTCCGTTGCAGTTTTGTAGAAGGGACCCATTTTCCTCTCTCTTTTCAACGTTTGCTCATACATTAAACAGGAGCAAATAAAAGGTTTAATGTGAATACACAAAAGCCAATTTATAGAAAAACTAGGAGGTCTGAGGGTCCACATTCTACTTAAAGTAAAAAAGTATCTCTCTTTTGAAATCATATAAAAGCATTTTCTTCCAGCAGCTGGTCTTCGCTTTTTCACAACCTTGCAAATCATCCCCTTTCTAAACATTTACATCACATTTCTATTCTGTCGTTCCCTCAGGCAACAAAAAAATTGCTCAAAAATCCTCTGGGGCTCCAGCTTTCTTAATGAACCTGAAAGGTCACTGTTCAATGAAGCACCATACATCCAAGGTAATTTTTCTTCACCATGTCTAGAAATTGTGTTCTGAACACCAGGAAAAATCAAACCTCCATTAGAGTTTGATAAGGTCTTGTGAACATTTCTGACCTGGGCTTACTCTTTGTACTAAACAGAAATTTTGGAGAAATGGCTTAATTGCTCAAGAACATACATACTCACATAAAACTATTACTAATAATGTAGCATTGAGCCCTTGGCTAAAGACGTGTTAGACTCCCCAAAGGAGTCTGAATATATTCCACTGAATTAAAACACAGACTCAGCGGTTTGCAGTCACCACAAGCCCTTGCAGAACTCCTAGGAAATTATCTGACAGTTGCATTTATCTCAAATATTGTTCACACCATCAGTGATTTGTTCCATGCGTCTCTTGCTAGAAAGACAGAAAGGTTTCTCAGACTAGAGGGGAATAAAATTCATCAGCAAGAATTTCTAAGGTTTCAGATTTCTCAGTCTATAAGGAATGACTTCTTTCTTATCTGATCCCTTGCCCTCCAGAGACCTCCGTGGGCTCTACACCAGCAGTAGATGAACCAAAGCACAGCTCCCAACATTCCTGAAATTGTACTATGACAACTCCCTCTTCCTCCACCAGGCAAAACAGAGACCTCCGCAGGGAAGGAAGGTAAGAATGTTCTACTGTTCGGAAGCTTAGAGGTATCCCTTTCCATCATCCGATACTCAGGATAAGCTATTTTAGAAAAGAGTCACCCACTGATTCTAGAGTCTGTGTGCTTCTTGGAAGCTAGGGAACATCTGTACACTCCAGGCAGTGTCCATATTTACGACAGAATGACCATATGGCCCACAGAGATAGCTAAGGCTGTAACCCAAAGTGGTTAGACTTTGGGCCCCATTCTTTAGAATTACTATTTATAAGGATTCCTGCTTACCCAGCACCTACTGCACTTGGGCTTCATTGAGAATCTGGTTTGTTTTTCCCTTTTAAACACTATTCTGATGACTAAATTTTAAACAAAAATGTATACTATTTTGGCTACTACTACCATTTTACAGAAAACATATTTCAATTTATAATTCAACCTCACTCCAGAGCAGCATTTGATATGAAAAGGGTCCATATTGAACCCACATGAAGTTTTCCCTGAGACACACAACCATAACACAGGCACACAAGAGAAAATTACACTTAGACTTCTGGGTATTTAGAGTGACATTATTATAAAAAATCTGGCAATCTGCTGGCTTTTTAGAAGGTATGGCAAAAAAATTGCTATGAGGCTATTTTACGATGTTAGATACTATATCCTAGCAATGTTATTAGGGAGAATTTTTTTTTTTACTCTGCTTATAATTATAAACATTTTAAGAAAGAATACCATCAAAATTTCTTGGTGAGTTAATATTTAAGTAGCTTTTATACCCTGGATGTGACAGATTAAAAACCCTGAGCCAACAGAGCTGGAGGAATCAGGCTCCCTGACTTCAGACTATACTACAAAGCTACAGTAATCAAAACAGTATGGTACTGGCACAGAAACAGAAATGTACATCAATGGAACAGGATAGAAAGTCCAGAGATAAACACACGCACCTATGGTCACCTAATCTAAGAAAAAGAAGGCAAGAGTATACAGTGGAGAAAAGACAGTCTCTTAAATAAGTGGTGATGGGAAAAACTGGACAGCTACAGGTAAAAGAATAAAATTAGAACATTTTCTAACACCATATACAAAAATAAACTCAAAATGGATGAAATACCTAAGTGTTAAGACTGGATACTATAAAACTCTTAGAGGAAAACATAGGCAGAACACTCTCTCGCATAAATCGCAGCAAGATCTTTTTTGATCCGCCTCCTAGAGTAATGAAAATAAAAACAAAAATAAACAAATGGGACCTAATGAAACTTCAAAGCGTTCGCACAGCAAAGGAAACCATAAACAAGATGAAAAGACAACCCTCAGAATGGGAGAAAATATTTGCAAACAAAGCAATGGACAAAGGATTAATCTCCAAAATATACAAACAGCTCATGTAGCTCAATATCAAAACAACAAACAACCCAAACAAAAAATGGGCAGAAGACCTAAATAGACATTTCTCCAAAGAAGACACAGAGATGGCCAAAAAGCACATGAAAAGATGCTCAACATCACTAATTATTAGAGAAATGCAAGTCAAAACTACAGTGAGGTATATCACCTCACACTGGTCAGAATCAAAAAAATCTACAACAATAAATGCTGGAGAGGGTGTGGAGAAAAGGGAACCTTCCTACACTGTTGGTGGGAATGTAAATTGGTATAGCCACTATAGAGAACAGTATGAAGATTCCTTAAAAAACTAAAAATAGAGCCACCATATGATCTAGGAATCCCACTCCTGGGGATATATTTCTGGAGAAAACTGTAATTCGAAAATATATAGGTACCCCAATGTTCATTGCAGCACTATTTATAATAGCCAGGACATAGAAGCAACCTAAATGTCCATCAACAGAGGAATGGATAAAGAAGATGTGGTACAAATATACAATGGAATATTACTCAGCCATAAAAAAGTAAAAAAATAATACCATTTGCAGTGACATGGATGGACCTAGAGATTGTCATACTGAGAGAAGTAAGTCACACAGAAAATGAAAAGGCAACCTTTGGAATGGGATTTTTAAAAAGGAAATAAATAGGCACAGAGGGGGACATGATTAAGGTGTCAGATGTGAACAGTGAGGAATGCACTCCAGGATCTGGCCTGAGGAGGGCAGGAGACAGAGCCGGGAAGAGGGTGAAGAGCTAGGGGAAAAGGAAAAGGCCAAGGGGTCAGAGGTCTCTCAAAGGTAAGGGAACAGGTGTGACAGGAACAAGGGATTTCTCCAACCTTAGCTGCATGCATACCTTGGGGAGCTTTTTAAAAAGCCCAGAAGCCCAGGCCCCACCCCCTAAGACACTCCCAAATTCTGATTCAATTAGTTTGGGATTGGGCCCAGTCAGGGTATTAAAATGAAATGTTCTTTGGGTGATTCCAGTGTGTGGCCAAGGCTGAGAACCACTGCAGTAAGAGAGATTTGGAAGAAAAAGATGATACATATGCATGTTAATGATTTCAGAAGCTCTTGGAACACTCTGGTCACACATGTCATGTTCCTTGTACATGCACACATTCTCATCATCCCTCCCTCCTTCCTGGCAAATTTCTGCTCCACCTTTAAGATTCAGAGTAAATGTCACCTCTTTGGGAAGCCTTCTCTTGCCCCTCTAGACCGATTCCAGGGCTGCTGCTTCTACGCCTTTCATAAATCTATCTCCATTTCTCCATAGCATAACAGCATTCCTCACACTGTTTTATTTTTAACCTATTTGAGTTTATCACTAAGCTGTGACTTCCAGCAACAAGCACAGCAGCCTATCATGCAGTAGGCACTCAGTAAATGTTCGTAGAATAAACTGTTGAATAAAATGAAAAAGACAAGTGTTTCATTAACATCTCAAGAAATGTTTACTTAAAAAGCCTAGGTTAAATTTTTGAGTTTCTTATTAAAGATTGAAAGGAAACCACCATTACTGCCTAAATAGTCAACGGTAAATTCATTTTTCCTTTCCTTGAAAAAGACCAATGCTCTCAGAAAGGGAAAAGGTGATCAGTGGTCAGTTATCTCAGCTTTCCCCCCGTGCAAGCAGCATCTGGGCAAGATTTAAAATAAAATCCTTCAATAATGTCTAGACCAATTTATTTTGTTCCTCAGTCTCAGCTCAAGAAAATTCCTGTTCAATTCTGTCATAACTCCCCAAAGAAGAAAAGACTATCTAGAGTCAAATAGCCTTTTTTTTTTTTTGACCCAGAGCAGACTGGTGTACTTCTTTGCCAAACATGATTTCTCACCAGCTGTGATCCCAACAGCTTAAAGTTCTCCGTGCTTTGGTGTGAAGAAAACTGGAGGCCCAGCAGAGGCTCTGGTGCACACAGCACACGTGCTCCTGTCACCCTGTGATCCCCATCACCCAATTCCGGCCCTTCCTCTGTTCCTTATCTCCTCCTGTTTACCATCTGTATCATTAATAACACTGAAGAGAAGAGAATTAAGTAGAATGGGAAATAGCAACATAACAGTAATATAACAAATTATGTTGAAAAACAGATGTGCTATGGACGTGGAAATGAAAGGATATAGAATGAAAGATGCTATATTGAGACTCTAATCAAAAGTCGGTGTATTTAAGCTGGTTCCATTTTTCTCAGCCTCACATGATTTTACTATAGTTATAGATCAAAGAAAACTTCTTATACTACTCCCTATAAACTGGGGAAAGAGGGGAAGTTAAGTCCACTAGTGCACGGGCTGGATGCTAACTGAGAATTCATGGCATTGCCATTCTCCCAAATTCCCTGCCTGGAAACCTGGGACTAGCCCTTCATGAGTTTCTTATCCTACCAAATTCTGTCACTTTTACTGGAAAACGTTTCTCCAATAAACTGAGTTCCCCCTTCTCACCATCTTTATGGCTGCTTTCGGGTTCTCACCACTTTATGTTTCCTCCTATA